ACACGCCCTAATTGTCACCGAGCCAAGCAATACAGAACTAGCTTCTTTCCCCTCCTGCACCTTTTCCCTGTAAGTCCACTCCTATGTTACTATTTAATAAAGAAAACAAAGGAACCAAACTGTCTGCTTCCCTTCTGTTTATTCATCCACCTTCTACCTTTCAGCGCCTTCATGTTGCCAGCACACAACTGCAAGAAGTGACTGATACCTAGGTGTTTGGACTTCATGAAATTTGAAACTCTTTTAGCACTAACCTTTTTTTTGTTTTGTTTTATTTGTTTGTTTGTTTGTTTGTTTTTTCAAGACAGGGTTTCTCTGTGTAGTTTTGGAGCCTGTCCTGGAACTCACTCTGTAGACCAGGCTGGCCTTGAACTCACAGAGATCCGCCTGCCTCTGCCTCCCAAGTGCTGGGATTAAAGGCGTGCGCCACCACCGCCCGGCAGCACTAACGTTTTTTATATTCTTTTAACATTTGTTTGTTTGGTGTGTATGTGTGTGTATTTGAGAATGGTTGCCCACGTGGACATGTTAGTCCTTTCCTTCCATCATGTGGGTCCTGGGGTTCAAACACATCTTCAGACTTAGCAGCAAATGCCTGTATTACCCTCTGAGCCATCTCACCAGGCCCCAGCTCTCAAGTTTTACGGGCACCATTCATAACAAGCTTTAATAATGAACAGAAGTTAAAAAAAAAAAATCTCAAAACTGAAAGAATGACTGACCCACTTATCCTATAATGAGGAAATTCATTAAAATATTGGTCTCAATATTTTTTTTTTCCACAGTAAACCTTTTAGGTCCTTAAAAAGGAGTTAATGATTCTAAAAACTGGGGGGGGTGTTTTGTTTTGTTTTGGGGGGGTTGTTTTGTTTTGTTTGTTTTTGAGAAAATAGGTTTGCATAGTGATTACTATTTTTTCCAATTTAGGCTTCCAGAAAGTTTAGTATTCCCTCCATCCCCCACCCCATCCCTGAAACAGGGTTTCTATGTAGCCCTGGCTGTCCTGGAACTCACTGCATAGACCAGGCTGGTCTTGAACTCAGAGATACACCTGCCTAAGATTAAAGGCATGTGCTACCATGGCCTGCTCAGGAATTTTGGTCTTAATAGTTTCTAACTGCCTTGGCTATGCTCAAACCAGCCACCAGAAGAGCACCAAAGGGATGAGCCCAGACAAGCAGCTGGCTACAGCTAAGTGTCAGCTAACAGTAACAGGCAAACACCTAGCTGCTTTGCCAGGATGCTCGTGTCCCTACACTGAGAAACAAGTGATTGAAAGCAGAAGGCTCAACACAAAAAAGAAAAAAAATCTTAATATAAACTAGTTTCAAAATGAGAATGGTTTTTGTAACTATGAATGTTTTCAACAAACACAGAGTAGAAGGAACCACTTTCATATTGTTTCTCTACCATGTCTCATATTTCCTGTTAATAAACATGATTTTAACCTATTCTTCTGAATCACATGTGTGTGGTACATAACTGTATTTTTGGGTCTCTATTACATTCCACTGAAGATAGAATTCTCCCCTAGAAAACTTGGCAATCCATTTATAAACTACAGTGTGGACCAATAAGGATAACAAAAAGTTATACAGAATATCATACAGAATACACAATAGGTCTGTTTTGGTCCATGTGCTTATCAGAGTTATACTGTTCCTCATCACAAACACTACTGCTTCCTTAGGTTTTATAACAAACAATTTACAGTCCATAAAATTTTTCAGCTCTTGATGATTAAAGAGATGGCTCTGTGGTTAAGAGCACTTGTTGCTCTTGCAGAGGACCTGGGTTCAGTTCCCAGCACTTACATGGTAGTTCACAACCATCTGTAACTCTAGTTCTAGAGATCCAGTGCCATCCTCAGACCTCCTTAGTCATCAAGCATACATGGCGAACATACACACACATGCAGGCAAAACACTCATACACATAAAATAAAAACAAATACATCTTTTTAAAAGATCCTGTTCAGTTGTTTTGTTTTAAGTACTGGAACATTTACCAGCTCTCCTTGCTTTTTGAACTTATGTTCTTCATTGAATCAGGAATCGCTGTTCTTAAAATGTCTTAATTTCTCAACTGTGTGAGAAGACAGGCCTGTAATCTATTAAATGCAGGGATACTCTACAGCTTCCTAACACCCTAATTGTACTGGCTCTCCTTACATATATTTCAGAAATGAGTAGATTGGACACCCACACTCGTCCCTGCTGCAAAGTCAGAAACACTCTGTTCACTCGAAATTTTTATTTTCCTTCCTTTGAAAGGATTCCGAAAGGAACTGGAATGATGCTGTAGAAGGGAAACGCTCATGGCCCAGAAGACAGACTCATCAAAAACCAAGGGGAAAACCAGGCAGCCCAGCATCAACATTTGCAGCAGCCATGCCTTTCAAAGATGACACTTATTCACTTTTTAAACTAGGATCCACTGCTCTCCACACAAGACACCTCAGAGGGTGAAGAGCCGCCGATCTCAGGCAATTTATGAGCTTTTCATCAGCCTATCTGTACTTAGAATCTGCATAAGCCAGAAAGGTATGAACTGCAGTCCTTCAAATGCAAACCACCTGCTCAGAAAGGTATGTAGCAGCAGCCTAAGGGACGGCAGCCACTCAAATGCAAACCTCGGAGCACACTTAGTCCAAGCCAGAGGGTTTATATAGCACACTCAGAATGGGAGCTCTGGCGGATACCACACTTCAGAAAAGGTGGAGTAGGCGAAAGAGCTGTGCGTTTGGTTTCAGCCAGTAGTTGAAGAAAGCTGAGCCCTGGGTGACAAAAGCACCCGGCAATCTCACCCACTCCACCCACTCACACATACTTATACACAGAGACAAAGAGAAGTGGATTGCAATGCTCCTTGTCTCTCGTTTTCATAGTTCTCATAAAGAGCAGTGAGAACGAATATCCTGGTGCCTTAAGGTAGATTATATTTAGCAATTAGGAAGTGAAGCAGCCTGCTTTCCTGGAAACCTTCCAATTCTCACTATTTGCAATTCCCAGTTTTTTAAAATTCAGTAACGTCAAGGGTTAAAACCAGAACCTCAGTAAAAGAGAACTAGGTTCAGCTCCACCCTCTGCAAAGGAAATATCAACAACTGAGCCAAATCCACTCAGCGAACACAAGACTCTGTGACGTGCCAAAAAACAGGTGAAAAGAAGTGGAGTTTCCTGGGATTTCTCAACTTACAGTACCACACACTTAAGTAGATTTCACCAATTTATGAAACACAAGTGTTAGAACAAATAAAAAGCACATATAAAACTTGGAAAAAAAAACAGTAACAAGTCACAGAGGTCACTACAAATCAGCAAGAATAGCTAGTTTGGATAGAGAAGGTCAAACAGTATCCATGGTAACAAAATCAAAACAAAAAGATCCGGAAATAGAAGGAATACAGGCCCTAAAACTTACATTTTGGAAGGAAAGTTCTCAAACTGGAGGGTCAATTCCTACCTTTAAGGAAAGAACCCAAGGCTATACTGCTCTGGTCACCTAGGATCCTATTTCTACAAAGGTATTTGCCGGATCAAACAGTTACTGACAGCCTGTATGTCACTGGAAAGGGCAGAACAGGAGCACCTGGTCTTGCTAGAAATAGGAAGAGATGAGTCAGTCACTCTTTTAATTCAGTTTAGTATGCTCCCAACCCTCCAGGTCACAAAACGTTTTCTTCCCACTTCATAACTTGATCAGTTTACTTCGCAAACAAGTGGACTTGGATCAGAACGCTGAGCGGGGAAAGGGGAGGTGCGTGAAAGAAAGCAGGAGAGAGGGAAGAGTTACAAGCCGTTTAGTTGGTCAGAGAGATTACTAGGGCTACCAGGAAGAGCAAACTAAGTATCTAGTTAACAAATGTCAAACGGTTGAGCGGAAACTCCCTTGTTGACTGCTCAGCATCTTTCAAAGCTTCTACAGTAAGAGGCAAGGAGCTCCCTGGAGAGAAGGGAGAGGATTTAAGTTAGGAGAGGCAACAGGGAGTAAAATATCGCGTTACATGAACATTGATAGTCCCTCGGACTGGGAGTAACAACCGGCCGTAAGGGAAGATACACTCTCCTACAGGTAGGAAAAGAGATGTCAAGAACCCAGGAGCATAGAAGATGGCGAAAGGTGAGCTGAGAGAATGGCTATTATTTTTAAAAAGTGTAAAAAGCAAATTACTCACAAACTTATTGGATTTGCCCAAGGGTTAATCACCATCTCGGGTCATGAAGGGCATAGCAGCGTGAGAAAAGTTCTACACCTCCGAGGTGATGAGCAACATGGCAAAAAGAAACAGGTTTTGTGGACAGGGAAATACTGAAGTCAATTACTGCCATGCCCCAATGACCACAGGACCTGGGCAGGAACCCATACCCGTAATCACAAGGACAAACGTCCAGAGGAGGAGGAGAGACAGGACTCAAGTCAGGTAACATTCCTGAGGGGAAGCATTAGCAGGTGACACCGAGCTGAGGGCCCTGGAAGGGGACAGGGCGGGAGGAAAGTTAGCAGGTGAGAGAGCTCACTAGTGAGGAAGGAAATGACCTTTCAGAAGAAAGAGAATACCCCAAACGGAGTATGGGTGAGAAGAGAAAAATGGACCCAGAACAGCTCACAGGGGGCCAAGAAGATTAAAAAAAAAAAAAAAAGAAAGAAAGAAATTAAAAAAAAAAAAAGACGTGTGGGGGTACAAGAGGCACAAGAAAGGAAGTGGGGCTGAGAGTCCGCGGGGCCACGGGGGCGGGAGCGCAGAGCCTGGCGACTCAAGAGCGAGGGAAGCTCCGAGGCGGCCGAGGCGAGGGCCAGGTGGGACGCCCGGGCTTCCCGCGGTCCCGGAGGGGTAGACTGTGCGCCCGCCAAGCCCAGGACCCAGCGAAACCAGGAAGAGAGGCGCGGGGGCGGCTCCCCGGCGGCAGGCAGACGCCCCCGGAGGGCGGCGAGGGTCGCCCGAGTTCAGAGGGCGGCCACCCCGCCAGGCGGAGGAGCAGGGTGGGAGGGACACTCACAAATTTCTTGGGTTTGCCGCCGTCGCCGCCCGTCGCGGGCAGCTGCTCATCCGGGATCCGACCCTTCTTCTTGTCCCGGGTCCCGCGGCCGGGCCCCAGGCCCCCGCCGGACGGCTCCATGTCCTGGTTAGCGCCGGCCAGGGACCCCCGGTCTACGCCACTCGCGCCCCGCTGCCCGGAGCCAGCAACCACCGCCGCCGCCGCCGCCGCCGCCGCCGCCGCCCAGCAGCCTTCTTAGCCGGCCGCCGCGCCCCGCCTCATTAACATGCTGGGCTGCGCGCGCCTCATGAATATACAACGGTGACGCCTCGCTCCCGCCCGCCTGCCCCACTTCCGCCCGGACCCGCAGCCCCTACCAATGGGGGAAGGGAGGGGGGGGTGGAGGGACGCCGCGGAAGCGCGCTACCTGCCCGGCGGGCCTAACCATTCGGACCCACGTGTAGGGGGGGGGACGGAGAGTGGGCGGTGCTGCTCTGCCAGGCCGCCGCGGGGAGTACTGCCCCCTGGCGGTTGGAACAGAGGCGGACTAACAGGCGCCCACGCAGAGCCCACGTGGCTGTAAAGCTAGACCACCTCACACACCCCAGCCAGAATTTTATTGTCTGAACCAAGACGCTTATCGTAGAAACACTTGTTATTTTGGATGAAAATTTAATGCTAGGTTTTGTGGGATAATGCAGTTTGTATCTATAGGATGCCCCGGGGCAGGAAGTGCATTAAAAAATAATGTAAAAAAATGAGTTACCTGATATAGAAAACGATGTGCCAAGAACTGAGTCCGAGCCAGCGCCAATCTAGACCAGCTATGGAGTTACATTACCCAGCTCTGAATCCTAGCTTAGCTTTCTAATTGTTTCTTACGTAGACAAACTAATTATTGCCAATAGCCTAAGCAGCAATTAAACAGTTACTACATCCCTGGCACAAACTATAGGCCAGGCTGTATGTTAAACATGGCATATCTTTGCTCACTGAATCCTCACAATTTCCAGATAGACTCTACTGGTATCACCATTTAAGAAACTGAGACTGTGGGAGTTGAAGTGACTTGTAACATAATTGACAGAAACTTTACATACAGATTAATCGGACAGCCAAACCATATTTAACCAAGATTTCCCACAGGCATGAACCAAACGTGTCTGCACGAGTTCTCTAGGTATGGTCTTTACATGCTCTCTCTCAGCAACTCCATCCATTCTCCTGGCTACATCTACCGACAGGAGACCTTCAGGGATGGACCGAATAACCCCGGAGACTCCAGAAAAGGATTTCAAATGTATGTATATTCCTGAGGACGGGGCGGTTACTTTTGGGAGCCTCCAGTGCTCAGATGCAATATCAGGGTCTCCACTAACCTTGCTGTCTCCTAAACATGGCCCTCATCTCCCTCGTGTTCCCAGCCTTCCAGCTGCTGGGTGAGAAGTTGCATCGGTGTCCAGCTCTCACGGCAGGCTGTCCAGGATTCCAGTGCTACTTACTTCTAAGCTAGAGTGAAAAGACAGCACGGGTGGCCCATACACACTCTTTTCTTGTACCACTGTCCACACTTCCATTTACCATGCCCTGACTGTAAAGTCTTCCAGGAAAGGGTCTGTGTTTGTAGTCCATACAGGATCCAGCCCTGTATCTCAGTCAGCTGCAGTTTCTTTCTTTCTTTTTTTTTTTTTGTATGTTTCCTTTGAGACAGGGTTTCTCTGTGCAGCTTTGCGCCTGTCCTGGAACTCGCTCTGTAGACCAGGCTGGCCTTGAACTCACCAAGATCCGCCTGGCTCTGCCTCCCGAGTGCTCTGATTAAAGGTGTGGGCCACCACCACCTGGCTAGCTGCAGTTTCTTATTTCCAGCATACCTGAGTACTTACTGTGCTTATCTCAGGCTATCTTTACCACCTAGAATCCTCTTCTCAAACACCCATGCTCACATACCTAAAGCCATCTTTTACACCTTCTCAGGCCAGTAATCTGCCCATGTTAATATAACTCTTTAGCAGAGATGTTCTGTTAATTCCCCATTTGAGTAAAATAATCCATGGAGAATACACACACAGGTCCTAACATAAAGTCCTGAATGAACGTTAACAATTTATTATACACATCATCATCTCTACTTCCTTTTCCCATCATACATAGGTAGCTAACAAGAATTAAAATTCCCAGGAGGTACAAAAAATACCGATTGGTTTATTAGATTACAAACAGTGGTAAAATGGACACAAAGCCAGTTAGAGCAGGCCATCTTCACATCCTCCCCTATCTGCCAGTGCACTCCCTCTGCAGTTCAGGGTTCGAGAGCCAGGCCCTCCTCCCCCTCACTGTTCACCTGCCGTGGGTACAAGAACTGCTGTGGAGGAACCCAGGACAACATCAGAGGTGACCTCAGTACTGTCAAAAATGTCATCCCTAAAGTCTCTGAGTTGGAAGCAGGGAGGGACAAACGCAGGGCCAGAGGGGCTGGGAACAGCTTCTAGGGCTCCTGACCCATAATGTTCCGACCTTTGTCCCCGTCTCATCCCCAGTAGGGACCATCATCAGGTTATGACAGTTTGAGGAAAAAGGGTAGATGATTCTAGAACCACATGTGGCTTCCAAACCCTTCACCAGAGTTAGTAAAAGCCCTGGGGGTCCCCAGTTCAGGACCGGGGGAGCCATACTCTCCTTCCCACCCAAGAGATGAAAAGGAATTCCTGGGCACAGATCCATGCTGCTCTTAAATCTCCACATCACTCTCCTTGTCGTTGTCATGGTCTCCATCATAGAATTCATTGGGCGCCTCTGGCCTGCAAAGCAAGGACAAGAGATTAGGAACCCACTCTTCAAGTTCCAGACTCCTCCCAGCGCCCTCCTCAGAGTCAATTCTCTGTTAGTCTTCTCCAAAGCCAGTTCCTCTCCTCTTGCTGGCAGGGACTTACTGCAATCCACGTATCCAATACATGGAGACTTCTGTGTGCGAGGTACTGCTGTAGGCCTCAGCAAAAGGGCAGAGAATCAGCCAGACAAGGTTTGCACCAATGTCTCAAAGCTTACCTCATGAGACCAGCAATAACAAAGCAAAGGAATGAATACAGTAACTTCAAACGGTGGAGTGTCCTACGTGACTGAGCCTGATGTGAACAAGAGGATGACATTTTACCTACAATTGCCAGGAGAGACTGCTCTGAGAATGAAATACCTGACTTCTGTGAAGAAGCTGGCCAGGCAATGAGCTCAGGAAGGTTGCGTCAAGCCACAAGAAAACCAAGTACAGAAGTCATAAGATCCAAAAAAAAAAAAAAAAAAAAAAAAAATGAAATCACAAGATCCAAGGAAACTGAGCCATTCCAGAATGACAAGGAGGCCAGGACTGTTGGGGGTCATGTGGGCAGACAAAAGTAGTTTCAGAAGATGAGGTAAGGGATCTGTATGCAGCTTGATGTTTTCAAGTTGTTGCTTCTAAGTGCAAGGAGAAGGAAAGGTTTGCGGGGAGACTGACATGGTGCTAAACTCCCATGGGAAGGGAAGTGACAGCAATACACGGTCAGCAAGCACTCGACACTGGCCTCCTTCTCTTGGGAAAACTAATCTCTGAAAGAGAGAATTAGAAGGTCACTGAAGAGAAGCTAAGGAACCAAAGGCAGACAAGGTCTGTCTACTCAGTAAGCTAAGCCCATCTCTATCACCTCCAAAAGCCCCGGGTAAAAGGAGGGGAGTCAACGTTTAGGACCGAGTCTCAGCCCTGATAGGAACTGCAGAACCCTAGGAAAGTTCCTTCATCTTTCTGAGCCTTGGATTCCTCCTCCAGTCATCTGTGGGTAAGAGCCACCTCTTAGGCTGTCCCACGGCAACAGCATGACAACATGAAGTACTTCGTGTGGAGCCCAGGGCTTTGCAAAGGCGGTAACTCGTCGTGGCCACTCTGCAAGTCATGTTAGCTGGAGCCGGGCAGCAGGTGGCCTGACGGTGAGGCGAGGCTGAGAAACAGAAGGAAGCTCCTGCGGGCTGTCCCGAAGGCTGAATAATGCAGAGACGAGAACCAGAAGTGAGCACGTGACTGTAGAAGAAAAAGTCAAACCTAGACAAAAGGGAGAACTCAGAAACAGGTGCTGCCAAACCAACTAAGACAGTGGAAATTAGTTTCTGGAAGTCCGCCTTTAGAGATCAGGAGATACAAAGAGATGATGGTCAGAAGGAGCCTGAGCCAGATGTTCGATACTTCCTCACCCAAGCCAGGGAATACGGGGTTACCCACGGGAGGGAGACTGGGGAAGTCCAAGGGCCAAAGTGGTCAAGACCAAGTCCAGAGGACAGAGTGGAGGCCAGAATTCTACAACCTAGGAAGCAGGTTCTAGAAGGAACTGAGAAGTCGTCCACATCTGCAGCAGAGCCCAACATCAACTCAGTGGTCTCAGTCCTGTAAGATCTGTTCCCCTACTAAGTCCATCTCTATCTCTATCTCTCTATCTATCTCTGTCTCTCTCTCCTTTCTCTCTCTCTTTTTGTTTATAAAGATTTATTTATTATATACAGTGTTCTGCCTGCATGACAGAAGAGGGCACTAGATCTCATTACAGATGGTTGGGAGCCACCATGTGGTTGCTGGGAATTGAACTCAGGACCTCTGGAAGAGCAGCCAGTGCTCTTAACCACTGAGCCATCTCTCCAGCCCTCCCTCCCTTTCTTTTTCTTTCTTTCTTTCTTTCTTTCTTTCTTTCTTTCTTTCTTTCTTTCTTTCTTTCTTTCTTTCTTTCTTTCTTCCTTCCTTCCTTCCTTCCTTCCTTCCTTCCTTCCTTCCTTTCCTTCCTTCCCTTTCATTCTCTCTCTCTCTCTCTCTCTCTCTCTCTCTCTCTCTCTCTCTCTCTCTCTCTCTCTCTTTCTCTCTCTCTGCCCTTCTGGGTTCTGTTGTTCATTCTCTTAAGTTTCCAGAAATTTCTTCAAGAATTAACAAACAGCAAAATATATATATAATCTTTCCCTCCCTATTTCATTCTAGCTACAAACATTTCAACATAGATCTAAGAAAGATTATTTACACACACACTTCACTCAATACATTTCTCAAACCCGGAGAAGACAGCTGAACAAATAAACCTAAGAACCCTACAAAACAGAATGTGGGCAGTGACCTGTCTGGTTCAATGCTCAGAAGGACTGAGGAAAATGCTGGCAAGAATGTAAATCACCGTAGTTAAGAGTACTCCCTGCTATTGCAAAGGACCGGAGCTCTCTTCCCGGCACCCACATGGCAGCTCACAACCACCTTTAACTCTAGTTCCAGGGGATCTGACACCCTCTTCTGGCCTTAGCAGGCACCAGGCACACAGTGGTGCACATAAATACATGCAGGTGAAACACCATACATATAAAATAAAATAAATGAC